CAGTCTCTCCAGCTCCTTCAGGTCCTGGAAAGCTCCTCGCTCAATTGTGGTGATTTTGTTCTCCATAAGCTGCCTGTAGGGACAAGCAAAAGAAAATAAGATGGTGTGCAAAAGACTTGGGAGAAAATAAGTTCCGAGGTCCAAATGAGTGAGGAAAGTGTGACTTAATGGAGTCAGAAAAAAAGAGTTTGACAAGAAATCACAAGAGATTGCTATTTGAGATGAAAGTGGAAGAGGTTGTGATGGCTGTGCAAGAAAAAAAAAAGATTGATGGAGATGAAAGACGATAGACTGTTGAAACAGCATCAAGGAGAAAGGGAGAAAAGACAATCAGCAAGCGGTCGATAGCCACCTAGAATTTACTTTAAAACTGAACGCAGACTCATCTATCATCCAATTTAGTCTGTGTCGAACCTTATAGCTGTGACCACTCATTCACTTACACCAGAATGCTGACCAAGCCCCCTGTGCAAGCACACATTTTGATGCAGTCACATGGTAAACTCAAGGTGCGCACACACACCCATGCAAGCTGATGACCGGAAATAAGCATGAAAGCACACACACACACACACACACACACACACACACACACACACACACTCACACACACACTCAATAAGAACATAATCTGCAGAGGAATTCCAACAATTTGTATCCGCTGCCATTCACTTTTGGACGTTGAGTCACACACGCACGCGCGTGCACACACACTTTAAGCAACCTGTTCTTACTTGACTCCCCCGTTCACCCTCCCCTCATCCATCCCGTCATTCGTGGTTGGGCGTAATGACAACCTTCTTCTCTCCTCACTATCCATCACTTCCTCGCCGGGGCGTTAATCACTGCAGCACATGGGCCCCGGGGGCCCCACCGTTTAAAATAAAACCCCCCTCCCTACCCCCTGGACACTTTTACACTGGCAAATTAACAGGTGCCTAGGCTAAGATGCACATGCATGACTCACTTGCAGTGACGAGACGCGCGCACTCATCCAGTCTGGCGCATTGTGCGTCGTGGAAGTGTGCAACAAGATAAGGAAGTGCAGTTGCAAAGACACGGGGGGTTACAGTAGGAAAAACTCACAAAAGCCACTTACAGCACGCGCAGATTTCTCAGTCCGGCGAAATCGGCCTTGGCGATTTTCGTCAGGTTGTTTGCGTTCAGATCCCTGAAAGAGAAAACGGTGAGAATAATAATGAACCCTGTTGAAATTGTATATTCCTTCAATGAAACTTGCACAGTGGCCCATGTCGACGTGTAATTTAAGCGTCTCCTCCACCGGGAGAGATGGAGGTCGAGCTGCGGCTGTTGCCGCTGCACTGCGGGCAGGACCCATTTTAATTTGATCTTTGCCTAATAGAATACAGTCTGTTTAACTCGAAGCCCACTTGGCTCCCAAATCCGTTTTTGATTAACTCACTGGTCTGCAGACAAAACCGATGCGGTCTCGGGTGAAGCGCTAATGCAACAGTGCGAAACCACCAAACACGACCACATCACGCATGCATGCCCCTTCACTTGTCTCTTGATGTCGGTCCCCACGGTGAAATCATACTTTAGCGGGCGTTTTAACACGTCAATTGAAATTACTAACTTAGATGATTTGTCCTAAAATGAGATTCCACTTGCTGCTTCACTAAATGTTGGGTTGTAACATTGGTTTTAGCATAAAGTGATTTATCAAGCCATCTACTTTAAATAATTCACATTTCTTTTTATTGAAACATATCTTGGGGATTAAAAGGTGAAACAAATCACTTAATTTCAAGTCAACATAAACTATTAGCCTATATCAAATCAAAATGTGTTATGAGTAATGGCGTGCATCCAAACTGAAATCAAAGTAGATAGACACTTACAGTCTCTCGGTGTTGCGGGGTATATTCCTGGGTACGCCGCGGAGCCCTTGGCCGTGACAGTCCACTGTGGTCCCGGTGCAGGAGCACTGAGTCGGGCACGGTTGTCCGGCTGCGCCCCGGCCCGACAGAGCGACGGCCAGGATGGCCACCAGCAGCCCCAGCGCGGAATACGGAGCTCGCCCGAGGCCCGCGGGGTTCAGGGCTCCAAGCATTGCGGCAAGTGGAAAGCGACCGGCAAAAGAGCGAGAGAATGAAAAAGATCCTGGAAAGTGTTCGGGCAAACTCAGCGGGATACCGTCCTCCTCGTCGTCTCTAAAATTTCACGTCCTAAATTTACATCGGGCTGTCCTTAATGGGGGTGCGATGATTCAGAACGGGGACTGGGGTCCCCCTGAAGGGAGCTCGGAGAGGCGGTGAAGCGACTCTCTGTCTGCGCTACAGCGGCACAAACTTCCACATGTCAGCGGCATGCAGCGGCCAAATCCCCCCCGGTCGGTCCCTCGATCCTCCTTGTCCTGATCCACAGAAGCCTCTCACACTTACACACTTCAAGTGCACCCCTGCACACGCCCGCAACACACCCCCTCACACGCACATACTCCAGGTAAGGCTTTCTTGTGGGAATTAATTCACAACAACGTCCAGCGAAGAACAACAGAAGCGTTTCGTCTACTTCCAAAAAAACGGCTAAGGAGAGGTGATGTTGGACGTACTGTTTCTGAACGCTTGTCAGTGAGTCACAGGTACCGGTCGTGGTGTCGGTAACGTGAAGGAGGACACAAGTCCGCCTGAGAGCTGAGCGCAACACCTCAATCCAAATGAGTGAGCCTAGTGCGTCAAAGCGCTGCAGCCCACACCGTGCGGTCGAGAGCCACTAGAGGAGGGAGGGAGAGCGAGAGAGCGAGAGAGAGAGAGAGAGAGAGAGAGAGAGAGAGAGAGAGAGAGAGAGAGAGAGAGAGAGAGAATGACACTTAAAGGAGAACGAGAGAGTGTGTGAGAGAGAGACAACAGAGGTGGGCAATAGTACTCACATGTACATAAAAGTGAACAAAAAAAAGATTGTTAAAAGAGGAAGTCCTGAGTGAGCTCCCTAATAGTAAAGTGCAGACTCTGAAATGTATTTTCGGTAAAAATAAGGTTCGACTGTCATTTCACTGCCCGTTTTCACAACTTGGCGCAGCACCAATACCATCTACAAACTAAACTGTTTCTCATTTTAACTAACACAGGCTTTAAACTGTCAAAACAGCCATAGCATCGCTAACATTCTGAACAGACGAACAAAAAACGTTTTGGTAATTTTAGTAAACTATGTTATACATCTCTACTTTGCCTTTAAATGTCTTAAATTCTTCCAGGAGTGGTAAATCCAGTCCACAGTTTGGCTTTAGCCATAGGTGCTTCTCCTCAAGATAGTTTACCTGCCAGTTAAATAAAAGCACCTGGCTAAATCCAAACCTTGGCAGGGGCTTTACTATCCAGACTATAGGTTGCATTATTGTCATTCATGCTCAGGTTCACGTTCCTCCATGTTGCTTCCATCCCTCAAGATCTCACGCAAGGTTGACGTTCACCTTTGCTCTTTACACCTTTTTCTTACGTTTTGTTGAAAAATGGACAAAAGCATAAAAAGTACAGATATCTAATTTCAAATGGAGCGAGTAAAAGTCAAAAGTCATTATAAAAATGAATACTCAAATAAAGATACCTGTAAAATGTACTTTAGTAAAATAACATATTTTGTACTACATTACTTCTCACCAAGGAGACACAGTGGACATGCGATGAGAAAAGGAGACGAAACTCGCCTAGAAAGGGGGAGAGACAGAAAGACAACACGTAAAAACGCGTCTCACCTGTTGCTTTCTTTAGCCGTCTCCTCCAAGGTGACAAAATGGGGCACACTGGAGTTCAGTTGCCGGACTTCCAAGTAGCCTAATAATCATGGCCAGTATCTAAGACACCAAGAGGCCATGTTGCTTTTTTAGCATGTTGGTTGTATCGGTGTCTAGTTTGCAGAACACATTAATAGGACCGTGTGAAGATTTACACTTGGCTTTTAACATTGTACACTAGAACTAGACTTACATTCACGTTTGGTCTATTTTCAGCAACCGTGCCTTGTCAATAAAATGATGAACTATTTATAGATACCGCTGCATGACTATATTGGAAATAGTGGCGCCTTCCAAGAAAATTGGAAATACGCCTCTGGATATGATGTTGCAAAAGTTATGACTTGATTTGTTGTTAGATATTTTAGCCAGATATTGTTTTTGCCATTGTCACGTACACTATTAGCTCCCCCAACACACACCGTGTGTGTCTTGACTCTGCTGAACCCCTGAGACTGACTCATGAAAACTTCGATGGATTCTAGGCGAAAAATCATTGCGATTCTATACACCTGGAAATAAAAGTTGCAATGCTGATCTCTCGTTTTATATTCAAACCCAAATTATTTCAGCGAGCAGCAATTCTAAAAGAATTTGCCTCACTGATCTAATTCTTTGGCGATGGGAGTGGGAGAGAGGAGAGAGCGAGACAACTCTGTTAAGGCGCTCACTGCATTTCTCACATGAATGTACATTGGTCTTGATGATTGCACACTCTTAAGAAGTGTGTTGCAAGGCGACACGCCCACTTAAAGGTGTTTAACTTTGACAGCTATTGAAAGGGTGTGACTGGAGGGTCACTGGTGGCAATAATTCATGTAGGAAGTGAGAGAAGAGTAAAAGAAGAACGAGAAAGACATGTTAGTGCTTCAGGGGACAGCACTTGTTTGGACATACCTGACATGACCTGTCCTAACCTTTAACATACACACACACAACGTTGCCTCAAACAACAGCTGAAATACAAGTCAATAACGACAAACACACACTGTCTGAATCGTGCCGATAATGCAAATGGCGGTTTGCTTACACCTCTGAACAACAACATCTACAAGTCATTTCACAATGCACACATAGTGACCATGTAGCACAATGTCTGTCAGTCCAACACGAGACCCCCCCAAAATATCACACCAATGCTCCAGTGACTAGCCAGTTTGAACAATTGTCTGCATCAAACTTTGTTGGAAAAGTTTGTGTTCTAGCTTGACCTTGGCCCAGACCACAAAGCAGAATCCAAAGGCTTCAAACACTTGCCAGAAGAGAATGAGAACACATTATTCCATTTTCATTCTATGTCTATGCATTGTGCATCCACGATCATTTAGCAATGAGAATGCTCTGCCCCCCCCCCCCAAAAAAAAGTGAGCGTGATGTGATCCTGTAGGATGTATCATAATGGCCTTTGTGATCCACTGACCTTTAGCAGCTGCCGGTGTGTCAGGAATTGCTTAGAGGGATGCATCAAGGCACTGGAGAGCTAATCAGTGGGATAACAGCTGGTCTGGAATTGGTAAACCAAAAACCTCCCCCACCTCCTCCTGTGGATTGAATAGTTTTAATCACACTGGTCAACAACATTTTCCCATATTTTTTTGTAGTTCAGAGAAGTAAGTCAGCAAATGAAAATATATTTATATTGTTTGTGCTGATTCATATTCTGACTTTTTCTCTCACACATCAGATTTTCATAATGCGAATATAAATATAATAGGTAATATAGTACCGTAACACATTTAGTAATATTTAAGTCATATTTATGAATTAAGGGGTAAGTTCAGAATCAGGTGGAATTTTTTTTCTGACAGGTCACAGTTATGAATTGCAATGCATGCGAAAGTCTGTACTGCGCAAACTTTTATAGGTCAAACTTCAAAACATCAAAAATGGAAATATCCCCCCCAATATATATATCTATAGATATTTATCTATAGATATAGATATCTATATAGATATATATCTATAGATATAGATATCTATATAGATATCTATATCTATATAGATATCTCTCTCTCTCTGTCTCTCTCTCTCTGTCTCTCTCGTGCTCTCTCTCTCTCTCTCTCTCTCTCTCTCTCTCTCTCTCTCTCTCTCTCTCTCTATATATATATATATACATATATATATATATATATATATATACATATGAACCAAAGGTGTTCTTCAGCCTGTGTGAGAATCCTCCAGCAGTTCCTGTCAAGACGGTTCTTGATTTAGAATAATCCTGCTGTCCTGCATACTCTCACCACTTGAATGGTTAGTCAAACACAAAGCTCCACCAAGGTGGAAAAATTTTAATTGGGACGAATACCAAATTGTTTACCTTCACAGGCACCCAGCTCCTGCAAATGGCTGAACTTTGTTATTGGGTGTATGATTCGCTCAGGGCCATATTCTTCTGCATGTGCTTATGTCAGAAAATGCACAGTTGCATGCTTTCACAAATAGTCCAAATGGATCTCTATGGAATTCATCTCGACAATCCAGGACTTGCAGGTATCCTCACAATTCAAATGGCCGCACCTCTTCGGTGGCTGTGCAAGTTTTCGCCAGTTACACAAGTGGGTGTGTCAGAAGCCGAGGTGGGAGAATTGCAGCGCCTTCAAGAAAAGCGCGAAAGGATTTGACTTAAATCTGTCCCTTGGTGCGCATGTCCCGACAGGCTGACAACACATCCACTTTTCAGTTGTTTTCATTTCGAAAGTGTGCGGTATTTTTCTCATGGATTTCAATGACACGACCAAGTCTCAGGAAAACTCAATGCTCCATTATTTACAGGCAGCCTCAGAATTCAAAGAATCACACCTCATTGGTGTTTGCTCACCCATTCCCGGGTTACGTGCTGTGGGTGTGGCAGAACTCTCGATGGGAGAATACTCGTCAATGAAAAGCGTGCTAGCCCAGATGCATGGAAAAAAAAAACACAAAGAGAAGAATATAGCCCTCAAAAAATAAAGAAAAGGCCCACAATGCCATTGACTTTAACGACAGGTTTGATCCAATTTGTTTGGTGGAATTTGATTTGGTGGTTTTTGAGTAATCCTGCTCATTGTTGCAAACATTGAATTTGAAAGGTCTTTTTTGTCTTCATAAAAGGTCTGTGACATTCTTATGCCAAATGATCCAAGGTATAAAGACTTACAGCACAATACAAAAAAGGCGGGGCCAGTTTTGTCTCATTCATGTACCGTGCTTTGGTCAGAAGCTAATGCTAAAGACATGATGAGCGAATGCTTATCTGCGCTAGCACTGCAGCCTTGCTTACATTTTGGTTTGGACATGATGTCTATATTTGGAAATACTATGTTCATTATTCTGTTTGTGTACGTTGCGTTTGCAAAAATCATCGCCAATTTCCGATATTCTTCACCGAACAATTGCCTTTCATGTCTGCCCTGTACATTAATACATCTCGAGTAAACACAAAATATGAATTTTGTCTAACTAAACAGAATTGCATGAAACTGTTTCAACATGAACATACAAATGTTTTGATTTTTCTGTATGCATTGGTCATTCCCTCCACCGCTGTAATTATAAGTCAGAGGAGAAAAACAAGGTCCAGTACTAAATGTACATTGGTGTGGAATTTAGCAAGTCGGAAGTACTGAATGGCCGCTAATGACATTGTGTCAGTCCAATGCAATGTTGATGCTCTTCAGTCAAGTCTGTTGAGCTAGAAACCGTTTGTGTTTGTTTTATGGCCACGCAATAAAGTTGAAGGTGTAGGGGTCAGTGTGTGTGCATGTGTGTGTGTGTAGGTGAGCCACCTGGCCTCGAAACAGCTGCTACTGAGACACATGCAGCTCAAAGCTCATCCTTATACACAATCATATAAACACACACGCGCACAGTTACATGCAGGGTATTGTGTGAATTCATTAACCACATTTACATGAGTGTGTGTGTGTGTGTGTGTGTGTGTGTGTGTGTGCGCGCGCGCGTGCGCGCACACGTGAGCATGTGTGTTTTGCCTGATTATCACATCATTAAAAACCAATGATGTTTGTGTTTGAACTGCCACTGTCAACAAAGACATTGGTTACACAGCTGTATTAAGACACACACACACACACACACACACCATATATGCAGACAGAGCCATGCCAAAACACACAAACAACAACATTAGAATAAAACCAAAAACTCCTTTCTTCCGTTCCCAACTGGCAGTTTCATGGGGATGTGAAGCATCCGGAAGGAGCGCTGACTCTGGACTGAGGTTTGTGTGAGGCACTGACTACCTTTGTTGCGATGCACGTACAACGGCACACACACACTCTGAGCAGCCCGGGGTGATGCTAAGAGGGTGAATGGGATCTGCATGAGGGGACTGGTATGTCGGAAATGCTCCCTTGTCGGTGGATGAAGGCATGTTATGGTTTCACATGTCAGTTAAGTCTGTGTTTGGAAAATAATTCAGCAATGCACATCACATGAAAGACAATGTCGTGAAGTCAAACTACAAGAGAGATTCGTACCGTTCATTTCTAAAAATAAGACTGTCCGTAGATAACAATTGGGTTAGGGATGAATTCTAAATGTGTTTTGTGCTTTGGACTGTTATTCAGATGTATTTGGCACCATATGCTTTAAATTATTGTCAGTCCTCCACGTGTATCAGTTTTCAAAAAAAAATGTTTTTACATTTCTCTGCAAATGTTTGTTTTGCTGCTCTTTTGATTTTTGAACTTCTACTGTCACCTGCATGACTGAGTGTACATTATTAAATAACATCGTGTATTTATTGCCTTTATGAAAACTGCATTTTAACCGGGCTACATTTCAATGAATATGTCACTTTTGCAGTGAGCAAAAATATATTGGTTAGAACTGAAAATAAAAACTGTCAGATTGGCAATGCGATTTTGTTGTTTGCACCAGTAACACTGAGGAGGGATCTAAAGATGACCAAAATCGGTTGCCATGGAGATTCCGTGTAGGACTTTGGAACCACATCTGGTAACCCAAATGTAAGTCAAAATGCTCACTCTAGTTTTTAACAAGTGGCCAATAGTTTCCAGCTGGTGTTGGTGCCTTCTGAAATTTGGATCACGGTGGATTGGCATCGCAACATCGGAGCACCAACAGCCAATGCAAATATACCACAGCACCTGCCACTGCCCAATCAGGCCTTGCGGTTCAGATGGGATGTGCTGTTGCGGGAGTTCTTACTGGTCGAAATCTCATGTGACTTTCGATGACTAATGAATACAGAAGTAATGGCACTGCTTAAATAGTTGTAAAAAATGTCACCGATTTTTTTTCAAGAAAGATAAGTAAAGTCACTCTTATGACACACTTGATGTTACGCCCCACTTGTCATACTAAGGAAAAAACTGTTAGTTTAAAACTTGAAGCCTATTTTGTTGGATTAGTTGACCCCAAAACGTTTACTTTGACATCAAATTTATCTTTATAACAGAAACAAAATCACGGACTCTCGATGATTTTGGGCAACACAAAAAACAAAAACCCAAACCCCCCAGCAATTTCCAATACCAAGTGCAAGCTCACTTGTGTCTTATGGTAAATGTATTTGTATGACTGTAACTTACTCCAATTTCGAAGGGAACCTTTGCATCATTGCTTGATGTCAAAGGCCTATTTTGGAGACTGAACCTCTCTACTATTAGAAGGCTTCAGAAACAGACATGATGACATTTTACTCCTCAGCAATAGAGTCTCAGACCTTCTAATCCTCTCAAACTATTATTATCTTTCATTGTTTTCACTCTGCTGCTGTTCCTTGGACCAAACTAAGTGACCCAGACACCACCATTTTAAAATAGCCCGTAAGTACAAAAACAAACACGTGTGTGAAACTAATTGTGCGCCGCCGCGTGCAGGCTTGTTGAGATGCAACACTGAGACAAGAGATTAAACATCTGTCTGAATCCAAACCCAAATTGAGATTAGCAGGGGAAAAGAATAGATCCCATATATCCCTTCTCCCGACAGAATTGGAGAAGCGGTTGTAGCCAAGGTGCAAATAAACTCGGGCAGACTAGACTACTAATGACGCGCATCTTTGTCTTCCCACTCTGTCCCACTGTTGTTTTTCCATCAAGCCAAATGAGGAAATATAATCGTTTATAATCGCGACATGATACTGATGATAGTAGGATGAACATGAAGTTGGGTAAATCCCCACTGTAGCTAATGTGTTGAATGCTTACAATATCTGCTTCGTCTGTTAAAAAGTTGGCTAAGGTTCACCACAGTCGTTTTATAGCTACCGCGGTGGCGTGAATGGGAGAAAAACAATTCCCCACTGATACTGGCAGTCTATTTTTCCATCTTTGATGCATACCTTGGAGAGTAGCGATGAGCAGAAGTGAGTGAATGAGTTATAGCTCTTGTAAGCTGCGGCGAAGACACGGGTCTTAACTTCTGACGCGCGGAATAAATCACAGATCTCCTACAGATGAGTCTTCATACGAGACGACTCTTTTCTGTCAGATGATGTGAAGGATGAAGTGCGGAGTCCCGCGTCCTGAGAGAGTGTGAGTAGTTCACGTGTAAATCATTCAAGACATTTGAAGCACACTACAAGGGCCCAAGGAACAGCGGGGTGGTGTGAGTAGAGGAGATTGTAAGGAAGACAAAAAAAAAAAAAAAAAAAAGCAAAATGGAGCAAAAAGGTGAGGTTTGAGAATAGGGCAACAAACGTAGAGAGGTAGTGAGGGGAAGAAAAATATGTTGGGACCTTTGGAGGCGGCGAGGGGGAAACACAGGAGGTGAGGGAGCGAGAAAGAGCGGTGTGGGAAAAATCAATATGCTCTGTGGAGTGACTGAAAAAGACAATGTGTCCCGCCTGACCCTTTGCTCCCCTTGGAGATAATGTGTATGTTTGTCCCTACGAGCACACTTGTAAATAACATATTTGCACATTGATTTGGAGTCTAAGGTGGCTCAATAGTCCATCCTGAATTTAATTGCGCACAATATAGAGACAAAAGCATTTAGACAAATGTCTAACCAGGTAATCAATCAATCCTGAATCTTATTTATTTATTTTTCATCTTGGCAAAGACAATTCTATTCGTCAGAGCAGTTTGGTGGAAACCAGTCATGGGGTTGCCCCTTGCTTTTGAGTCTGTGCTAAGCTAAAGCATGTGCTAAGCTAAGGCAGTGCTATTTTTTTGGCAAGGTGGTCGACTGGTTAGCATGTCCGCCTCACAGTACGGACGGAGGTGCTGGGGTTTCACTCCAGGCCACGGCCTTCCTGTGTGAAGTTTGCATGTTCTCCCCGTGGCTACGGGGGTTTTCTCGAGGTACTTCGGATTCTTGCCACATCCCAAAAACACGCATCGTAGGTTGATTGAATGTGTGTAATTGTGAGTGTGGATGGTTGTTTGGCTGTATGTGTGCTTGTTGTTGAGGGTCCTCCACAATGTACTCTGCAGCCGGAAAGTATTCACAGCGGTTCACCTTTTCCACATTTTGTTACGTTACAGCTGAATTTCTAAAGGAATTACAGATTTTTTTCATTGAAATTGTTCACGCAAGAAGCTGAAATTGCAATGTGGAAAAAGTGATTTTTACTAATTTACTAATCAAAAATTTGCATGCAAGTATTCAAAGCTCTTGCCATGAACATCAAAATTACATTCCTTGTTTCTCTAGTTTTAGTTAGATTTTAATTGGGGGCCATGTTGTCTTTGAAGAAAACATCGTTTACAATGATCAGGTGTCCAAATACTTTTGTTGCTCTTGTGCATGTGACCTTGCGCATCCACAATTCCAAAATATGAAAGTCAATGCTGGGGGATGCTGCCAGCAAGCTAATGGGATAAAAGTTCATTAGCTCCCGTCTGCCAACATTATGAGAAAGGACAGCTGGAACAAAGGAGCAGCAAATGTGTTCATTCCTGCTTACACCTGCTTTCCTTCCATCTTCCTCCTTGTCACCATCATCTAAGAGGTCATGTTCACACACAAGCCAATGGCCGTTGCACACGTTTCCTACTTTTTGTAAAATGTTCACAAAAGGAGCTCCTCTCTTCATTGATGTCATATTTTAGCACGCCTCCCGGCTAGTGGCTTTCACACACCGTCCACTCCATGTTTTTGTGAAGCAATTGTAAAGCCGACTCAGCCTGCCATTGTCCGCATCCGAGGACTGAATTCTGTTCCTCCATCTGCCCCCGAGCACCTCTTGGGGGTTGATGGGGGGTCCGAATGGGAGAAGGTCGCCAGTCACCTCCTTATCTCCCCTCTCGGAGTCATCCAATCACTCCTGTTATCCATTCTGTCCCTTCGGTGTGATGCTTACGTTATCACTCTGCTGTGAAGTCTCAGGGTTAATTGAGGTCCGAACAGCAGGAGGGCAATTAAGACATACTTGTGGAGGGGGCATGCAAACACATCGTTTGCAATATCATTGCCAACAAAGAAACAGAGAATGGAGCTCACGCTACACGGACAACAACTGATTATATGAAAAAAAAAAAAAACATGGCAGACAGTGAGACCCAGCAGAATACCCCAAATGGATGATAATGTGACACATAACGACAAACTTTGTGCAGCAGGCGCATAGTAGAGACTCCAGCATTAAGCCCCTTTGTTTAACTCAGGAGATCAAACAGAGGTAATTATTGGAACCAACAAATGTGGGAAAAAAAAGTTATTTAAACGAAGAGCCTCAGCAAAAGAGGAATGAGTGAACTTATAAAATGACAAACACATTGTAACGCTCCTCATTTCTGGGGAAATACTATACAGCTCACACACGACTACAGTATTTGAAACAGCAGCACCTCGACATACACGTGAACAGGATGCATTTTTGTCTGGATTAAACCAGACCCATATAGTAATTAATAAAAATACCCCAATTTTTACCTTGGAGTTTAATAAATGCCTTCATTGTCCGGTGTCAAGGTAGATGCTTTCTGCAAAAAAAACTATGTTCATACTTTGTTGCTGGATAAAACCAGAAAGGCCACAAAAGCAGTCTAATGTACAGTATTAAACAATTTATCGTGGCGCAGGCAGTTGACCTTTTGGGTTGTGTTGCAGTCATTATGTGGTTGCTGCACCACTATTCTCATTAAGATTGGATGCAAAAAAAAAAAAATAGGGGAAATATTGGATATGATCTGGTGTGTGTGTGTGTGTGTGTGTGTGTGTGTGTGTGTGTGTGTGTGTGTGTGTGTGTGTGTGTGTGCGGTTTGAAGTATACTGTAGATGCTGATTGAAGCAGAAGTTGCATGGTGGGAAGCTATGCATCAAAGACTGACATTCACCTTTCTGGATCTCCTGTTTGATGACCCACGCCTGAGCAGGAAAGTCTTTAGTGTGCAGCAGGCGAGGTAGTGATCCCCACTTGTCTATGTGCTCGCAGGGATGGAAGAAACAGAGCAGACTTGAACACAATTTAGTGAATTTCACAGCTTGAGCCTGAAGGGCAGTGGAGGTTTGCCCAAGTGCAGCTGATCAGCCTGATTGGCCACCACCAACCAGCCCGGGGGAGGGAGTAATCAATTAAGACTTGACTGCCAGACCACACAACAATAGCTCTTTGTAGAAATGCCAATGAGGATGATTCAAACCGATGGATTACTAATAATAACATGATCAGGAGAAATATTAACTGAAAGTCACTCACAAAACAGCCCCGCTCTCGGGAGGAAATGATTTTCCGGGCTATAAGACGTTATGCTCTGATTTAATATATAATAGGTTTGACACGAAAAGAAACAAAAAAATATAATTGAAATAGCATTAGAGAGAAACCATCTCTCATCTAATGTATTTGAACGTTTCAGGAGGTTTTCATCTCCTAAATATTTCTCATGGGATTAAGAGGTGTGCTATTCAAGTGGTTTCATCTTAACGCAGCCTCTAAAATTTCGGTCAGTGAATGATGGCACTCTCATGGGTTTTGCTTATCTCGTCTCCCAACTTCAGAGCTGACTGCCTTTAACGATGATGATGAAATCTGTTTTCAGTGCGCCACCATAGCACACTGCTTGCAACAAACAGTAAATGGTCTGACAGTGCAGTGTCCCAACAATCAAAACAAAACAAAAAGAAAAATCCAATTGTTTCGGTTCAAGACGTATGGCCACATTTCAACATGCAAAACAAAATAATCAACCTTTCACGCACCGATAATGAAAACCTGTAATCTGTTAACATGATAATCTGTCCACTGTAGTAACTGCTGTCCCTGAAAGGTTTAAAGTTGATTTTCGTTATGGTCGGAAGGCTCCCTAAATGGAGGCCTCCCCATCGATTAGATGTTGTATCCCAATCATGTTAGTGCATCTGAATAAATAAATAACTGACACAAGGCAATTAGACAGATCATCTGATACCAAAGTAATTAAATATCATTAGTACTGTACCACACAAACTGTCTGCTCAGCAGACATTTCATTGTTACGGTTGAAGGCAGCGTTTAAAGGGGAATTGCTATCAGGAAAGTTTTCACAGCAGGTTACTTTTGCCACATTTGATTATTTTACAGCCTTATTATCGAGTAGAATGAATTCATTTGTTCAAATTCTCCACAAAGCATCTATAATGACAAAATGAGCATTTGTATAAAATCTGCATAAAAATCATGTAGAAAAAGTAAAAGATTGTGAATACATTTTTTGGATTGACTGTATGTAATATGAAGCATTTCAGAAGAAAAGATGTTCCACGTATACCTGTAGCATTGACCTAAAAAGAAACTAGGATTTGAAAAACACCAAAATAACAGTTTGATATTTGCTGACGTGAGAGGGCACCTTGGAAGCTTTTGGAGTGAATTTATTCCGTGCACTGCCTGAATAAACTGACGAGTGTGCGGAAAATAGATGAGAAAGAAAATGATGGTCGCCTAAGCGAGTGATACGACGCACCGCAATATGTTTATGCAGCACATAGATGCCATTGGAATACAATCTACAATTGTGAAATAATTCACTTATTATAAAAATGCGTTGCTGCGGGCGTCCCGCCAACTAAATGCATTGACCCTTATCGAAGTACTCAACATTATTCTGTTCCAAGAATCACTTCCGTTGGAAATTGCGTGTGCAAACAATCGTTAATTATTAATCATATTCACTTCGCCTTTTTTTTAGTAAAGAGTAAAAATCCACCAGGAAAGTTTATTTAAAACATTAACCTTTCGTAAGAATTAACAATGACAATGTCTTAAACATATATAGAGAATATCCATTTGCATCTGAATTCCTACAGCTCAGTAATCTAAGGTGCAAGATAATTGCACTTCAGAAGAAGTCAACTGCGTGTGTTATTGTGTTTTCGATGAAATTCCATGCACGCACAATCCCTGTCATCAGCAACCACATACTTGTGGGGTTTTCCTCGTCTTTACTTGGGCCAACTAAGAAAAAAAAGTGTGGGAAGAAAGTGTGAGGGGAGAAGCAGAAAAAGAAGAGAAATTAAATGAGAAAAAGATGAGAAGTAGTCCATTGGTGGACAACTCAAATGAGGAATTAGGGTCAATTATTTTAATATACAAAAACACCTCCAATCCACCAATTAGATATCCTGCATTCAACACTTCTTTAAACAACACTTTTTCCGTGACGTTTACGTGAATGGAAATTACACACACATTTGCATGTACAGTATAAAAATATCTGCGTGAACAACTACTGTGTGACCTTGTCCTTCATTTTTCCCCAAACCAACTCACCACATGTTTCCCTAAACAATAGACTGGAGACTCCAGTAAGGAAATCCCCTTATAGTTGGCCAACACAGCTCATTCCATCTCTTTTCACATCCCTGCATCCCTACTTCTAGCGCTGACAGCATCCATACGTCTCAACTAGTCTCTTTTCTCATCCATCCAAAATCATGTCTGGCTGAGCAGCTTTTATGGTAAAGCGTTGCAAAGATGGACTTGGCTCAGCGTGAAGTGGACGATGGAAAATGAAGTTCCTGCTGCGAGTGTATGATGTGACCTCTGTGAAACATGATGAGGGCACGCACGGTTGGTATGGCCCCCCTCAAATGAAAAGAAGGCCAATATTTTTTAGTCTCACTGTGGCTACTGCAGGATGAGAGAGGAAGAGAGTGTGAGTGTTTTGCTTGAGACCATCCCCGGGATAAAAGAAAGGTTGAAAGCAAAATAAAGGAGCCTGTGAGATAAAAAGAGAGGATAAACATGAAGCGACAGATAAGTGAGAAGATTAAATGGAAAGAAAAGGGTGCCACCTCACCTTTCTTCTTACTGTGGCAGGAAAAGCAGAGGCATTGCCATGACGACGCAAACAAACATCAAAATGAGGTTGACGATGGTGTGTACGCGTGCACGCGTGTGTGAGCTATCTTTGTGAGGATGATAAGAGTGCAAATGGATGGATCCTTACTCTAAGAGAACATTCAAGTCTCCTTGGTGGAGGTGTAACTAATTCCTCAGCCCAATTCTGTCAAACCTTTTCAGCTTTCTGTGTCTTCAAGTACTGTTTGACTAATACTGTTTGAGTGGCCACGTTGATTGTTTATAGGTTAAATTACATGCCACGGTTTTCAGAAGATTATTACATAAGAAAGAAATTCAGAAGGAAGATACAAAATATATAAGAATTTAATATAAATGTGAACTCGAACTGGTTTACAACTGGGTGTAATGGGGCATTTGTGCCGTTGTGGGATGTGGCCGATTCCCGGCCGATCATAATGACATCCCTCATTTGTATTAAAATTGCCGGTCGAAGGGTATGCCATGCTTGACATTGCTGAAATAGAAAGAGACTCGCTGGGGTCCGTCCGTGACATTGGCTTGTGCAAAATGCCTTCATGCAAGTAAACTGCAAGACCTCCCCTTGCTGATGATTTCGTTGATCGTGCCTGTGACATGGGCAATTGGAGACCACCTTGTAACCACAACCATGCGTCCGTATGTGACCCCACACCCTCAATAATTTTTCTGCTCCGTCAGGGGGGTATTATTAAAATATTGTTAAGGTGATAATAACAATTCATTCAATGAATTGTTTTCTACAATGATTTAAAGGGATTGTCCCACACTGTTGTCATATTTATGAATAAAATAAGATGACGTCCACCACACACGTCCGCAGAGCAATGACTCTGTCTGCCTGCGCCTCGATAAGTAGTCTAAATTATTGTCCACCCATTCTCACCAAATTCACAAAGGAGTGTAATAGAAAACACATGCGGTCTGCCAGGACGCCTTGTGGCCCACAGTGCGATCTACCATATTCACAAACGCACCAAACTAGACTTGCCCCAGCACGAAAAAGAAGTTTTAACTGTTTTTTTACACCAAGCGCAGTCTACTCACTGCGAGCAAATTGTCAGATGTGTCGGGGGTGAGGCAGCTTTGTGCGCTGGAACGGTGTAACGCAGTCCCAAACACGCGAAACTAGACTTGCCATAACACCAAAACGGGTATGCGCCTATTATTACGCTGAATGCACAAGCGCCTGTCTACTGAAATAGGGCCCTTGGACTGCATTTCTTATATCGACACTCAATAAAAAAACAACACCCCCCCAAGATATATATAAATATATATCTATATAGATAGATAGAGAGTGAGACAGAGAGATAGAGAGAGAGGGAGAGAGAGAGAGAGAGAGAGAGAGAGAGAGAGAGAGAGAGGGAGAGAGAGTGAGGAAGAGGAAGAAG